GTAACAGAGATACGGTCGGTTTTTCTGCAGCATTCAGTACATCTGGTGCAACTGGAAGTGTGCCAGGATCTGGGCAGACCCTCAGCTTGGATCAGCAGAGCAGTTGCTGGGCTCTCAGGGACAGCAGGGGCAATGGGGCTGCAATGGGGGACAGCAGTACAGGAGGGCACAGTGCTACCACCAGCACTGGTGCCACAGGGCTGCGATGAGATGGACAGGGCTGTGATGTGATGGGCTTCCCAGTGGCTGTGGGGCTGCATGGCACAGAAATGCACAGAAATGGATTGATAACAGTCCAGGAGAACAGCCTGGATTGCAACCGGGTGAGCCAGTGAGGGATGGGGTGCAGCATCAGGATGCCAAGCAGAATAAAGGCATCACAAGCTTCCCAAGGCAGGAAGCTCAGAATAGCCAAAACATCCTACTTGGTATGAAGATGTATTTGTGAGGCACACCTAATCCCCTCCTGGAGCTCCAGGGATGCTTTTCCCACCCAGAGCACTCTGGCACGTCTGTGCTCGGTGTGAGGGAGGTACACAGCAGCCTCTGAGCCCAGAGAGTGGCAGAGGTGTCCCTGGGAAGGACACCTGGAGCCACCAGCCCAGCTGCCACAGACAAACTGCTCACAGAAATGATACCTAGGAAATAGTGTGTCTTCGTGTGCCCCACCTGCATCCCATCCATTCGATGCTTACGGTGACATCTTTGCCCCTGGGAAACCCGGCCAACCAGAGGCACCTGATTCTTGCTCCTGACCTCTGGGGCACAGAAGCAAGGCACAGCCCATCCCAGCAGGGCTCTGCTGTGTCCCAGGCACTGGGCTCTGGGGCAGCCGATCCAGCTGCTGGATCCTCGCTGCTGGTGGGGAGCTCTGTGGGTCCGCTGCACGGCCCTCTGCCAACCACTTGCCATGGCATGCTTTGGGAACTGCTCCTTTAGACATACTGACGAGAGCAGGGTAATGTATTTCTACTGGAAAATAAACATATCTCTAATGAAAACCTGGTGTACCATCCAGTTCTTTTTTTTTCTTCTTCTTTTCCTTTTTTTAAGTGAAGATTAGGGCTTTCAGCCTGTCAGACCCAAGCCTTTCCTCCTGCTTGCCATGACAGCCCATCAGCATTTTTTCTCAAGCATAAAGGGAGACTGAAAACTTAAACAAGTGCATAGAAAGCAACAGAAAACCCAAAAGAGACAAAGGACATTTGACTAGGAGCTGGCTTCCCTTCCCTTCCCTTCCCTTCCCTTCCCTTCCCTTCCCTTCCCTTCCCTTCCCTTCCCTTCCCTTCCCTTCCCTTCCCTTCCCTTCCCTTCCCTTCCCTTCCCTTCCCTTCCCTTCCCTTCCCTCCCCTTCCCTCCCCTTCCCTCCCCTTCCCTCCCCTTCC